CAAAATTCATCTACAGCTAGAAGAAGGTGCACCAAAGTAGACTCTGATGCTGTCTTTTACTGGTTTTAATACACTGATCTTTTAAATAGTGTCAATTTTAAGTAAATATTACTTTTCAACTTTTTTGGACTGATAAACTTTTTCACTTCACATAGTGTTTTTGAGTATTATTGGACTCTGTTTTATTAACCTTACTGCTAGTAAGTATTTTGGGGATGGCATGTTTAGTATTTATATTTTTTAAACTTTACATTTCTACTTGTTTTAGAGTATATTTGACTTTTGACTTGTAACATTAAATATTTGGCTTTACATTCTCCTCGATGAACTCTGAAAATATCAAAAAAGCATAAAATGCTATTATCACTACTAGTATTTCAATATTATGCAAAATAAATATTAAATTACTAAAACTGACTTTTGCTTCATACTGGAATCAAATAAGAAGTTGATAAAAATTGTATAATAGTAACACAATGTATTCCCATAGACACACACACGACACACCTGCACATACACAGGTAAATGTAAACACAGAGGGGACACCAAAGGCACAGAACCAGTGTTTTTATCTTTCCCCTTTATATTGAAAAGCTGCCATTTGATGAAATGCACAAGTTTCTCAGAGTTTATCAAAATTAGGGCTATCATGCCTCTCTGGGGAAAATTGCATTTTGAGTTTTCTTATGTCACAATGCAATAGGAATTTCAGGACGCCAGCAGCTGGAGGCTGGCCCAGAGGGTTTCACCGTTTGTTTTATCTCTTAATAAAACACAATGCGAACAGTGTTCAGACATGATGGATTTCCTCATGGCCTCTGTCTGACAGTGGGATTCTTCCCTCATCAATTCAGTGCCTTTGACCTGGATCATCTCACCCGATGACTCACTGAGTGTTAAACTCCAAACCGGTTTCTCTCGCCATAGCCAGCATCTGCAGCATGACGCAGGGCGCTGGTCCAAGAGGGACGCAGGTCCTGACCCTCCCTTACATTTGCTAGGAAGTCTCAGGCTTCTGTGAGCTATCTAATTAGGACTCTTCAAATATGTTCAGATTAGGTTTGTGCCTAATGTCCAACAACAACATAGAAAACAAGTAGGGTTTTAAGGATATTTTTATAAGGATTTATAGCCAATACAATTCTCTCAACTCACTTCATATCCTCAACAAAGAAGTTGCCCAAAGGAGAGGTAGTAAGTGACCTAGCCAGGATTCAAATCCAAGTCCATGCTTTAAGAACTTACGTTCTGTACGCTATGTCAGTGGTTTGTATATTGTAGAATGTATCAGAATCCCCAGGAGGGGTAACATAGATTACTACCCTTCCTTCCAGAGATCAGGGTAGAAGTCCAAAATTTTTCCTTTCTAGTAAGGTCCCAGTGATGCTGGTCCTCAGATCATGTTAGAGAAACGCTGCACCATACAAATGGTTCCCCCATGAGTGCTCCCAGCATCACCTGATGACATTTGGGAAAGGTGATCCCTAGGTGATATTAGGGAAAGATTGTACCCCACTCAGAGTAGCTACAGGAAATCAAAAAGAAAATGTACTTCCAAACAGTGTAGACAAAATAACATGCTAACTGCAAATTTTAAAATAATTAGAAGTGAAAAATAAGGAGTAATTAATTTTGAATGGGCAGTGATAAGCAGGCATTAAAAACAACGTTGATGTAGCATTTGGGGTAAAGTTAGCTGCATAATGTTCAGAGTCTAATGCCAAGTGAATCTGAGGTGTTTTGTTTAAAATACAAGGAAAACATGCCATTAGCCATCCTAAACTATAAAGCTTTCCCTTTCTCAGACTCAACGTGTCATGGTGTTTTTTATTTGCTATTTAATGACATGGTAAATAAAGAAAAATAAAAAGTTTGAATTAGTTGCCTGAATTTTATCATTCAAATTTATACTGCATAATGTCCACTTTTGATGCAAATTTAAGTGTTTAATTCATACCCAGAATCACCGGCATCAGACAATTTATATTTCAGAGTTCATACATGCATATTCATTCTCACCAGAGCAATGAAGAAGCTGCACAAAGCTAAGCCCTTTGTGTTTCACATTTTCCTGTGTATACGACCCTATCATTACCCTGTACCTTTAGCTTATTATAAACATTAAAGCAACAGAAACTATGGCTTGCCTGTCTTTCTTTTTCCTTGTACATTACCATTTTCAGTTTACATAGTTAGCTATTACAGGGAGGTGTTATGGACAGAAAACAAAAAAAGGCTACGATCAATTCTTTTTTGTCATTGTTTCTTAAAACACTACTGCCTTCTTCTTTCTGGGTAGAAAGCGAGTTCTGGTTAGAACAGGAAGTATGCCCTCTGCGGGCTATCGGTGCCCTTTTTAGTCAGTTATATGAAGGGCACTGACCTTGTATTGATTCATCTGTTCTCCCACACTCCAGGATCACTGCAATCCTATACTCAAGGGACAGCTTGCATACTATATGTGAACAGGGTGGCAAGGAAAAAGGACACTCAAATTTTTGTGCATCTTTTTGATTTATGTGCATATTCCAGTGTTGTATTAGGTTTCACTTACAAAACACAAGTTCAAAGATACAATTATTGGGCTGGGCTATAGCTCAGCGGCACAGTATCTTCCTGGCAAGTTCAAGGTCATGAGTTCGAACCTAGTACAAAAAAAATAAATAAATAAATAAAAGATAAAATTATTAAGACTTTTGAGATAGTCACAGCAAAATGTTAAACCACATATGGGGTTCTTCTGAATGTGAGGTCCTGTGACACCCGTGAAGCTCAATGATTTGGGTATCAGAATGACAAGTTCTTAAGGGAATCTCAGACTGAGAACTGGATGGGATAAAAAGGTAGAAAAGTGACACTTCCAGGGCCATATGGGAATTCATATCGTATATCAAGAGAAACTGCAGACCTGAGTCCCTGCAGAAGGGGCAGGGATCTAGCTGGCTGGGAAAAGCTTATTTGCTGGGAAAAGGTGCTCTCGACAGTAAGCCAAGGCTGTTTTTAATTTTTTTTTTAACTTAAAAAAACAAGCTTGGATTCGTATAAGAACCAAATAAATGTGAGATTATTCTATTATTATATGTTATATTTTCTTTCAGAAGCAAGAAACTATGTCATAAAAGCTGTATGTATTATTGATCAGTATAATAAAAGTATCAGAAGATAATTTCCTCCTTTGATTGCCTAAAAGACTTTTGTTTCTTTAATGAAATTATAAAGAAATATTTCTAGTTGTTAGTTTTTTTTATATGAAACTATGTTTATTAAATTATAGTTATTACTTTCTTTCTCCCTTGGTTATTACTGAGAAATTCTGAGGTTCAGTGCCTGGTGTGTTGGAGATTGTTTTATAACACAGCTAACATTTTATGGAAGTATAATATATCTTTGCTTTTCAAATTACTATCATTGGAATTAAAGTCTCCTATCTATTCATGTTATCTAAACAAGGAGAAATTTCATATCAAGACATAATTATCTGATTTCACACAAAATATATTCATTTTTGTTAAGGGACTAGATATTATAGTTGTGAGTTAGACATTTTAAGAATTCAGTATTTAACTTTTCAATATAAAGTTCAATTTAAAATACTATGTAAATTATCCTATGGTGAAATTTTAAATTTATGTATTTAACATAAATAAGTTGAAGACTAAGCTCTAATATTTGAAATACAAAGATGCCTTGGAAATTTATAACTTTTAATATTAAATTTTATATAGACAAATAGTTTATTAGTCCTCATTGTAGAAAAAAATGCAAGCATTGGAGATAAACAGCACTCTTCTCTAATAATACCTTCAGTGCTAAAAATTATTACCAGTCAAATAATATACATTTTTACATGTATATTATAATGTCCAAATGGAAATTTGGTTCCTTTTTAATATGCTGTTTGGTTCCTTTTTAATGTGCTGTCTTTTGTGATTATGGTCTGAAACTTGCTTTTTAAAAGTTACTAACATGTTACACCATGTTACAGCATGTACAGTGGACACATTGGCATAGATCTAACTTGACTTTGGGCTGCTGTTAATATTTCTCAGCTGTTTCATCCATGTTTCATTTATCTCCCTCCTAATGACTCTGGCCGTCTCTAATTTTCCACTTTACCCACCCTGCTATGATGAGCAGCCTGGCCATCTGCCTTTTTGTTTACATGCAAAGGTATTTTTGAGAAATAATGGAAAAAAAATAGAACTGATAGATCAAAAGACATACATTTAAAATTTGTGTAGTCCCTGGTAAATTGCTCTCCAAAAAACTATCACTTTACATCCATTTCCCAGTGTGCCAACACTTGTAACTTTGTATCTCTTAGAATATTAGATAAAATCCAAATGCTTTTGATGGTGCTTAATTGTATATGTCAGCATGGCAAGGCTACAGTACCCAGACATTAGGTCACAGATTATTCTAGATGTCTCCATGAAGATGCTTTTTAAATGAGTTAATATTTAACTCAGTAGACTTTGAGTAAAGCAGATTACCCTTCATAACTGTGCCCTTCGTAACGGGAGTGGGCCTCATCCCATCAGTTGAAACCTTCAGAGAAAAAAGCCCAACTCTCCCCAGGAAGAAGGAATTCTGCCAGCAGACTTAACTGCTGTATCCGTTCTGCTCTGGGCCTCCCACCTTCCACCCTACCTGCAAATCTTAGATTTGCCAGTCTAGGATTTTGAAAGCCAGTTCCTTAAACTGTCTCTCTATTGATGAATCAATCTATCACTCCACTCAGTAATTTGCCCTCTTGGTTATCTGAAGAATCCTGACTGATTGCTACACTGACTTAATTTGAAAGCAAAAGCAAAAGCAAAAAAAAAAGAGAGAAGAAGCTTTTAGTTAATTAGAACTAGAGCCATTCTTCACTTTGATAAGAGTATCTTCCACAGTATATAGTAACCAGCATAATTAATGCCAAAACACAGTCGTTTCCACTAAGTTTGCTTACCTTTAAAATTTTACTGAAGTACCTAGATAATACAACTATTGGGAAGAAAGAAACAAATCTGTAATTATTTATAGGGTATACATATTTCACTTAAGAAAGCCAAGACAGCAGGTCAGCAGTGTATTAGGAGGTCTTGTCAATCTGTGGTCTCCTCGGTTCTCATGTTACACTAGTGCCTTCCAATTTCTGTCATCCTCATCCCTCTCATGTCAGTGGTGATGTCTTCAGTGCTGCTATAAGCTGTTCTTGGGCCTAGGTCTCCCTGTTGCCTTCACAAGTCTCTGTTTGCTGGCTCAAGACAGTCCCCAGAGCAATCCTATTTCCACAGGTCTCGTTTCTGCAAAAATGAAAAACAGAAATACATTTTCAGATCCTTTTGACATGGAGTAACAGATATAAGGAAAGCAGGAGTGATCAAGCTCAACTCACTGTTGACTAACAAGTAATCAAATAAAAATATACAGATACCTCCACTTCCAATAGGGACGTTGTAAGTTGAAAATACGAACTGAAAATCAAAACACATAGTGTACCTGACATACTGAGCATCATCTCCAAGCAGCAGAGCACCATGGAGCAGCACCTGCTCTTCCGTCGTGGTTGAGTGATTGACTGGAAGCTTCAGCTCACTGCTGAAGTATCCTGAGGGGCTCTCTTGCCACATACTGCTAGCCTGGAAAAATGTCAGAATTGACAACTTATTTTTTTTACTGATTATCACTTTTCTACCATCATCAAATCAAATCATCACAAATAGAAACCTCCTGTATACTTAACTGAAGTCACGTCACTAATGAAGGAAACAGGACTGGACTCAGATGTCTTGACTCCTAACAGTGTGCTCTTTCTAAATACCGCATGAGAATGATAAAGTTAGGAACAATTCCTGGATACTTACATATGCCAGGGATCATCCATATGCACAGAAATTAGGCTTTTCAATTCTCACAACAGCCCTGAGTTGGATAGCCCTATTATCCACATCTTAAGGAAATAAGAACATAGAGAAATTAGTCGATGTACTCAAAGTCACAGAGCAAGAAAAATACGGAGCTAAAATGTGAGTTTCATCAGTTTGACCTTCTCTATCATCATCACCCCTTTCTTTAAAGAAGCCCACAAGAAAAATTTCTCCTTGGCTTCCTAGGTTTAATTGAGGGAAAGGGGGAGGGAAGAAAGAGAGAAGAGAGAGAGAGTGAGGAAGAAGAAAGTCAAGAAAGGAGGGAAGGAGTGAGGGTGGGAGGCAAAAAGAAACCCAGTGCATGAGAGAATATGGAGGGTTCCTAAGAGACCACTTAAAAATAGAAAAGGTACAATACAAAATATAAGCCCTGATACCACTGGATCCTCACCATTGCCATGGCCTCTGCTTGCTTCCCCAAATGTGTACACAGTGAAAATTCTTTACATACATCTCGACCCTGACCCACCAATGTCATTGCCAGTTATTAGGGTTAATCATGTCCTGCCTTCAAAGTACATACCTGGATCTGAAGCCAGAGTTTGCCTCTTCCAAGTCATGCATCTCTTCTCATATATCTCTCTTACTTTGAGTCAGGATGAAATAAACCATAGTTCAGTTATTTAAAAAAAAAGATACTGACAGTTTGATCTTGTTATATAGTTCAACCTGGTCTTGAATTTGTGGTGATCCTCCTGCCTCAGCCTCCTGGGTGCTGGGATTGTAGGCATGTACCACTATGCCCAGCTCACAAGACACTGTTACTTCAAACAAACAAACAAACAAACAAACAAACAAAAAAAAAGTCCTGATGCTACAGTTGTATGGTATAGTAAAAGCATGTAGTAAGAGACAGGAAGCATAAAGCCTAAATCAAATTTATCACTCACGAGCCATGAAACCTTTCCTAGGTTACTTAACCTCAGTTAAATTATTCTGTGTCTTTGTTCTTTGTCTGTAAAGTGGTGATTATCAGTGGTATCTCCTTGTTAGGCTGACTTGCTGTTAGGATATGTGGTCTGGTCAGAAGAGGCAGGTCACCAGGGACATGGTCTAGAGGAGTCTATCTCTTGTCTGCTCCATCATGCACTTCTGCCATGCTGTCCTGCCTTGGAGCCAGTATACTACAGACTAACACATGATCCAAAATAAGCCTATCCTTCCTTAAATTGTAAGTGTCTTGTATTGTGCCTCAAGAATGAGAAAGTCACTAAGACATGTTATGGTACTAGGAGTGGGGTCTATGCTGTGATGCACGTGATTCAGAAAACTTTGGAAATGGCTTGGTAAAGGAATTTGAAACAGTTTGGAAAGATCAGCTAGAAAAATTATAGAATGCTGTCAGATGAGCTTTTTAGGAGCTTCTGGTCAGTACTCAGAAGACCAGAATACAGATAAAGCAGACAGAGAAGACTAGGCTCAGAGGTTTCAGTTGGGAACAAGGACTCCATGGGCAGTTGGACTCCAGGACATATGTGTTCTGCTGTGGAAGAAAATCTATCTACATCTTTCTCATGTCCTGAGACTTGTTGGAGACTTAGATCAAGAACAGTGAATAATTAATTTGGAGCAGAAAATTTGAAGCAATCTAATGTCAAGGCTTTAGCATGGGTACTATTGGGGGCATTATAGCTGACTTATTACCAAGAGGTAGGGTCTGATGGAAAGAGATGGGACACAGGGGTGTGGCCTGGAAGGGTTTATCTCCCTATCCTTCCCTTGATCACTTTGCTTCCTGTCTACCATGCCATGAATAACTCTCCTCTGCAATGCCATCCTATCTTGTAGCCAATAGACTAGGCACAAAGATTCTACCAACTATGAGCCAAAATAAACCTCTCTTCCTTTAAGTTTGGGTGTCAGGTATTCCAGCAATAAGTGACTAGAACAACCTGGATAACAGAACACAAGAGCTGGCTATTGTTATTATTACAAAGATGTATCTGTTCTAGAACTGTTGAGATGACTCAGAAGCTCACAGTGCAGAGTCTGTTGCAGGAAAAAAAATATGCTAAGAGCCATAGAGAGATTTCAATACCCAGAAGAGGGTCCCCCAACCCATGGTAAGGAGTTACAGGGACAGCTTGCTGGAAGAAGCTTCCCAAAGTAAATGTAAAAGGTGGAATTGGGATAAGCCAGTCCTGAAGAGGCAAGAAGCATGATATGTGGCAATTCCTCAATCAGGTAGACCAGAAATACATAGTTCATTCTTCTCTGGATTGATCTTCCTTCCAATCTTGCTCCCAGTAGGTGGCTTTGCTCTCCAGATTGACCTCCCTGGACCCGTGACTGTCTCTTTGTTTTGACTTCCTTTTCTGCAGATCGATGATCAGCAAGCCATACATTTCCAGCAACTAGGAACTGAACTACTGTACTAACTACTGCTGTAGACAAACCTATAACATGCATGTTATTGTGTTTTTCTTTTAAGACAAAATATATTAATGTATAAGTTATTTATTTTTTCTGAACTAAAACCTCAGTATTTAGGGTTAATTGAAATTTTGGCACTTAACAAAAAATAAGTGGGTTTGGGTTATAGTGGGCCCTCAGTCTCTGAAAGTTTCACCATCATTACCCTAGGAAGAACAAAAACTGACCAGGTCAACCACACAGTAGCACTATGGTCCTGTAAGCCCTGGTCCCATACAGCAAATGGAATAATTCTTACTGCTCCCTAGGATGTTCCTAACCAATAGAAAATCAGTTTTACTTGCATATATTTTCTCCAGACTTGCCTATATTCATAAACATAAATTAACTAGAGCTTCCAGATTATCTTCCTTGCTCTGCTGAGAATATATCTTACTTTTCTCTCATTGCTGAGACAAAAATACCTGACTCCCAAAGTAAAGGAAGCAAAGTTTTATTTAGCCCACAATTTGTGGAGGTCTCAGTCCATACTCAGCTGGCTCCAAGGCAGAGAATGGCACGTGGCAGAGGCCAATAGTCTCTGGTGACTGGAAGACAGTAAAAGCAGCTAGAGAAAAAGGAGAGGAACATGTGAAAGAAGCCTCTCTGTCTCTTATATTGTATGTAGGCTACCCACCCTGAGTGGATGTAGCACTCACACCCATAATCCCAGTATTGGACCATGAATTAGCCACAAAATCTAGAAGCCCACCTCCATGACCACATGAGCCTTTGAAGGAACACCCAGACATAACGCATAATAATATCTTTTCTAGAAAGTTTAAGGAGCAGAAGTATACAAGCACAAGAAAACAAAACAAAAAAAAAAAACTGATCAAGATTTGAGCTGATAGACTTGTTTTGTAAATATTTCTACTAAATCAAATGATCATTCTTTACGCAAAATTAGTTTTTAGATAAGCATATGCTAACCCATTTTGTGAATTTCTCTCATACTAATTATACACTTTATCCAATTTATCCTTTATTCTGTGGCTCACAGATACATTCACACAGAGAGATCTGCATAGGGATGTACAGATGTCCGCAACACATGTATGCATGTCTGTACATAGACACTAACACTTTATTACATGTACACAAGCAGAAATATACAGATTACACATGCTCATGGGCATACATACAATCACATGTACACATACACACATGTGGACACACACATCATATACAGAGAGAAACAGACCAAAAATATATAACCTTATAGACATACATATCTATATAAACAGCCTTCAATCCTGCTGTTGCCACTTACAGGCCATGAGTTTTGAAAAGTTATTTATTATTTGCTGAGCTATGGTTCTATGCCTTATAAAAAAAAGCAATGAAAATATTGTATTCACAGACTGACAGTTTTTAAATAATTACTTACTGGTAGGCTTACTATAGAACACACAGAAAGTTTTAATGGCTCACTTTTTAAGAAACAGCTTTAGGCTTAAACACAAATACACACTCTATCCTTACTGTTATCTCTTTCATTCTTCCTCATTAAAATTTTTATATTCACAGACAGCTCTGTGCATGTGTGAATATTTCAGTGCCACTGCCTTGAGACTGAAAGCCTCTATTCTTTGTTTTTCAGTTCGTATAAACAAGGACTAGTGCTCTGAGTTTTGATTTTGCTTAAGTTTGGTTGCTTCAGCAAAAATATGCCCCCATTAATATGAAGAGAGAAAAATAAAACACAAATGTGATATTTTGAAGCATATATTTGATATTCAATTCTGTTTTCTAGCATACAGCTCCAAGATGTTTGGAATCTACAAAATGACAATGGGTTTTTGTATGCTAATGTGTTGACTGATGGCTGAAAGTCCCTAGATAGCTTAGGGTGGGAGCTAGCACCCAAAAGACCTAGGCAAGATTAGAGGGAGGGACCTTTAGCCCTAATTTATCCTCAGCTTCTGGGGAAGGAACAGGGGTTGAGGAGCAATGGTTAACAACTTAATCAATTGCATCTACATAATGAAGTCTTCAGAAAAACTCAGTTCAGAAAACCGCTGTACAGGTTAGTAGTGAAAGTTTCTTGTGGTGGGGGATACACCCCCAAGGGCGTGGAAATTTTAAGTAACTTCCTACTTACCTCACTCTATGCATATCTAATATTCTTTATACTATTAAAAAGGATATGGAAGAAGATATGAGACATTCTATAAAATTAATGGGATCTGACCAGAAATTTGTGGGAGCTCCAGTCTATAGCTGGTCAGTCAGAAACACAGGTAAAACAATCTGACAATTGGGGTTGGTATTTAGAGTAGGGGAACATAGTCTTGGGGACTGAGCCTCAGCCTGTGGGATTTGATACCTTGCCTACAGATAGTGTCAGCATGGAATCAGACTATAGGATACCCAGCTGGTGAAATTCCTAAGCCTGTTAAGTTCCAGATATCTTCTGTGCTGACTGCTGTGGTCAAAGGATAGTAGAAAAGCAGTTTGTTTCTCCAACGCAACAGGCATCCCAGTTCAAAACAGAATCCAGATCCTGATTTGAGAGTATCTGAGAATGATGTACCAGGATTCTGGAAATGAGGCTCAGTAACCGCACATCCAACAAGGAGACTACTGACATATGTGTTCACATAAATATCATAACTTCTGAATCGTGGGATATACTAGAAGCAAAGTTTAAAAGATGCAGCCAAACAGGGATACATCTGCAACATGT